TCTGTCTTCCTCAGTGTGAGGTCAGTCACATCATGATGAGGTTTATTTCTTACATCAGTTGGAAGCCCAGGGAATCTGCATGCCTGCTGTTAAACTGCACAGTTGAATCCCTAAAGCCCTAAAGTCTTTTACAGTGCTAATCATTTTCTAAAAGGCCAAGGGATTCTGCAGTCATTCCAGTAGTATGCACACAATATGAAGCCGAAACACATCAGAGTGCTATCTGCATAAGATTATCATTTACAGAAAAGACATTTGAAGTTGTTTCTGCTCACATTATTTGTATATTGGGTGCAGGGGTCTCGTGTTACTAATGTCAACCAGCAGACTGTCACCCACACTCTGCTGGGTAATATGTCTTCATGATAATCAAAGGAAATAATGAATGCAATTTTTATCCTGATTTATTCTGCTGTTAAACCCTGAATCACAACTGTACAATCACTACAGCTTTTCTTTCTTTTGCTTTTTATGATTTAACAGTTGCTGCCACTACAAAGGTTTTCCTTTCCCCACATTTATTAATAATAAATCTGAAATGATGAGATCACACCTTCTGGCTCCAAACCCTGCATAATTGGTGGGGAAATTAATTTTTCGCTAAATTTTTCTTGTTCGTTATACAGATGTTAATATTAAAAATACATCGACACAAGGTACTTTGTCATTTTGCAACACAGGTTGTAACAGTCATATTGTAGCTCCCTTATTGCTACTTATACAAACATAAAATAAATAATACAAATATTTACTGTAAATGAATAAAAAGTAGAAATGGCAAATTCTATTTATTCTAATATTGAAATTATTTCTAGTCTCACAGGACAAGGTACGTTTTATCAGTTTGAAGTTATGATGCTCTCAGTGCAGTTTTTTATCGTTTTAGCCACAAGGTGGCGCAGTTATTCATGAGAGTATGACCTGAGGGCTTCACTACGACGGAGGCCTCACATATCCAGGCTCTGTGTTCATAATCCGGCTTCAACAAACTAAAGCCCGGTTCAGAGTAACTGGATGGACGACGGTGGTCATCTGTTCCGGTCTGAGCTTTGCGCCTGTGTGCGCGTCTCACATCAAAGGAGCTGCGATCCGGCTCGCTGATTTCCTCACAGCCTGGAGAGCATATGAGGAATACAAGTGTCACAACATTCTGGACAGCTGGACATTGCGCATCTTGTTGACCTTTATCATTTACAGCTAACACCCCCCCCCCCTCATTTTTTTTCTTGTATAGAAAGATATTTGTTATCATAATTATTATTTACTGACGGTGAAATCTACCGAAATAGCGTAGTGTGTATATATAATTGAAAGCGAGGTCATGGTGTGCTGGCAATTAAGGTACAGTTGTTTTTTAGCCGTGCTGTACCAACGCAGATCATATTGGTTACTCTGTACAGTGACAAAGAGTGTACGTTAACCTAACTTCATTTCAATATTGATAGGCTACTGTAGCCCTAACTATAAACAAAATAGATTGCTCTATCCGCTCATATGGCAGTTGTTGGACGTAAAATAATATAACATGGTCAGCTAGGCAAGCTGAACTCATTACCACGAGATCGTATTATGCATTTGTCATAAAATAACGCTACTTGAACATTTTTGAACATGGAACTCTATATAAACTATAAGAACAATCATCAACCTTAACAATCAAAATCCCACCAACTACACAAGGCACAGGCAGGAATACAAAGCAACACAAAATAAGATCACTCATACAAATCAACAAATATCATGGGCAAGTACATAATTTTATGTACAGATCACAGGAACAACCAACAAACACCAACTAACCAAAAACCTAAATGCAATGCTAAAACACCCTCAACATACAGATAATATACATTCTTTAAATTGACACCACACCAGATAATGAGTCATTCAGAAGTAATATCACAAAAGATTTTTTATTATTTAATTAACCAGACAAAACCACATGGCTAATGATACAAAGCAAAAAATGTGAGGACAGTCAACTATCTTCAATATAAGTATAAGGCATGGCTCACTCTTTCTATAAGAAGGTACAGTAACCTTTACTACTAACTCAAGATAAGAATATGCTTTCTGAAATTAGTGAAAGTAACGTAAAGGGCATATTTCCCTAACCCAGGCACAAGTAAAGACTAAAAAAGGGTTCGGGGAAATCTAGAAAGGAAACGAAACACCATACAAAAACAAAAAAACAAACAGGCAAAACAACAAAGTACCCAGATTCTTTACTTGAGTAGAAAACATACCTGTGTTAAAAAAACGCTGTTGAGTAAAAGTTGAAATACTGATCCAAATATCATACTCAATAAAAAGTTAAAAAGTACAGGCTTCTGACATGTACTCAAAAAGTCGTTATTAAAAAGTTATCAAAAAGTATTTAAATCTCGGCAAGCAACACAACTGGCAAAGCAACATAACACACGAACTCCACAATTTACTAGACCATCAACCCAGCTAAATTCAATCAAGTCAATGTCTTAGAAACAAAACAATGTCACTTAAAAACCCAAAAACAAAAAAAAAAAGTTTACCTGCCGACACACACAACAGATGCCTCCTAAATGTACCCCTAATCACTATAGGTCAAAAAATCGATAGGGCAAAATAATTTGTCACCATAGCAATAACAAATACAAGTATAACACATCACACTTCTGAACATTAAATCTTGGACCAGATTGGTCTAAACTGTGGGTCACAAATCATAGGCTTCCGTTAGAGCCCAACATCTATAAACAAAATCACAAACTTTTTTAATACCGAACACAAAAATCACGGCAACAATTGTTTCTTCACTGAACATGTGGGATGTTTATTGTGAATGTCAACACCAGGACACATTGATAAAATAAATAAAGCCTTACTACTACAACTGTTATCTGGACAAAAAAAAATACTGTGTCCTGCCAAATAAAATCACAAATCCAACAAATTGCACACTGTCGTGCAAGTCAGTGACAGCTCACATACTGAATCACAAACCCTCACCCAATATGAGTTGCTCCTACAAGCTAAAACGTAGACTCACTGTTTACACTTAAAGACACATCTCGACCCCAACTCTCCACCAAAAAATCACTATGGCAGTGTACACCATCTAGAAGATCATATTCCCAAGAAACCTTTTTTAAAGTCCTAAGTACACTTCCAGGGGAATATGCTCTACCTTACTTCACTAATTCAGTAAAAGCATTCTTACTAAAGATTAGCAGTAAGCGACACAATCCTGAAGGTGATCCAACCAACATGTATGAAACCCTCCCCACATTGGCTTGTATTAGCCATGTGGTTTCTGTCGCATCAAATAAATAATAAAACAATTTAAATACACTCTTGAATGACTCATTTATTGTGCATTTAAAGATATTTTTTCTTGGTGAAAACAGATATTTATATTTCATTTATGACCGGAAACAAAATATTGGATGTAGGTAAACTCGTATTTTAAAAGTACGATGACCAAAGAATTGAGAAACGAGCTGAACTATGATTTTGTTTTTTACGGAAACAAAACAAACAAGAAAAAAAAACGGCTTTGTTTCTGGTTCTAGCATTTTCAAGTAAATCCGCAGAAAACAA